TTGAAAATCTGTATTCCACAAAAATTGAAAATTCAAAGGAAATGGACAAGTTTTCTGGATAACTATCACTTACCAAAATTAAATCAAGAACAGACAAACAACTTAAATAGACCTATAACCCGAAATGAAATAGAAGCAGTCATCGAAAGCCTTCCAACCAAAAAAAGTTCAGGGCCAGATGGATTCAGTGCAGAATTCTACCAGACATTCAAGGAAGACATAATACCAATACGCCTCAAACTATTCCACAAGATAGAAACAGAAGGTTCATTGCCAAACTCTATTTATGGAAGCCACAATAACTTTGGTACCCAAGCCCTCACAAAGACACAACTAAGAAAGAAAAGTACAGACCAATATCCCTGATGAACATCGATGCTAAAATACACAATAAAATACTGGCAAACTAAATTCAAGAATACATCAGAGAAATCATTCAACATGACCAAGTAGGCTTCATACCTGGAATGCAGGGGATGGTTTAACATATGAAAATCTATCAACGTGATCCACATATAAACAAAGAGAAAAGAAAAAACATATGATTATCTCCCTAGATGCGGAAAAAGCCTCGACAAAATTCAACACCCTTTCATGATAAAGGTCTTGGAGAGGTCAGGGATAACAGGGAACATACCTAAAAATAATAAGAGCAATATACAGCAAACCAATTGCCAACATCAAACTGAATGGAGAGAAACTTAAGACAATTCCTCTAAAATCAGGAACAAGACAAGGCTGCCTCTCTCTCCATATCTCTTCAATATCATACTAGGAGTTCTAGCTAATGCTATAAGACAACAAAAGGAGATCAAGGGGATCCAAATTGGAAAGGAAGAAGTCAAACTATCTCTATTTGCAGATGATATGATAGTTTACATAAGCAACCCAATAAAAACTCTACCAGGGAACTCCTGCAGCTGATAAACACCTTCAGCAACCTAGCAGGATACAAGATAAACTCAAAACATTCAGTAGCCCTACTTTTTTCAGACAATAAAGAGACAGAGAAAGAAATCAGGAGAAACATCACCCTTACAATAGCCACAAGAAACATAAAGTATCTTGTTGCAATGCTTACCAAACAAGTAAAAGACGTTATATAAGAACTTTGTGGCTATAAAGGAAGAAATTAAAGAAGATACCAGAAAATTGAAAGATCTCCCCATGCTCTTGGATAGGTAGGAGGAACATAGTAAAAATGGCAATCCTGCCAAAAGCAATCTACAGATTCAATGCAATCCCCATTAAAATCCCACCACAGTTCTTCACTGACCTTGAAAGGATAATAATCAACTTTATATGGAAAAACAAAAGACCCAGGATAGGCAAAACAACTTTATACAATAAAAAAGAACTTCAGGAGGCATCACCATTCCTGACTTCCAAGCTCTACTACAGAGCTATAGCTCTGAAAACAGGGTGGTATTGGCATAAAAACAGACAGGTAGACCAATGGAATCGAATTGAATATCCTGATATTAACCCACACACTTATGAACACCTGATTTTTTTGACAAAACAGCTAAAATTATACAATGGGGGCGAGGACAGCATCTTCAACAAATGGTGCTGGCACAATTGGGTGAGGGTGTATAGAAGACTGCAGATAGGCCTATGTCTGTGGCCATGCACAAAACTCAAGTCCAAATGGACCAAAGACCTCAACATCAATATAGCCACACTGAACCTATTGGAAGAGAAAGTAGGAGGTACCCTTCAACAAGTTGGCATAGAAACTGCTTCCTGAACATAACATGAGAGGCACAGACACTGAGAGAGAACAATTAATAAATGGGACTTCCTTCAAATTTCAAAGCTTCTGTAAGCAAAGGACACAGTGGACAAGACCAAATGGCAGCCCACAGACTGGGAAAAGATTTTCATGAATCCTATATCTGACAAAGGGCTGAACTCCAAAATATACAAAGAACTCCAAGAAACTAGTCAACAAAACACCAAATAACCCTATTTAAAAATGGGGTACAGAACTGAAGAAAGAATTCTCAATAGAGGAAGTTAAAAAGGCTGAAAGACACTTAAGAAAATGCTCCACATCCTTAGCTATCAGGGAAATGCGAAACAAAACAACTTTAAGATACCATCTACCCCTGCCAGAATGGCTAAAATTAGAAACACCAATGATGTTGGAGAGGATGTGGAGAAAGGGGAACCCCTCCTCCACTTCTGGTTTGAGTAAAAACACATACAGCCATTTTGGAGATCAATATGGAGGTTCCTCAGGAAAATGGGAATTAGTTTACCACAAGACCCGGCAATCCCCCCTCTTAGGCATATACCCAAAGGATTTACATCCATGTATCAAAGACATCTGTTCAGCTATGTTCCTAGCAGCACTATTCTGTAATAGCAAGAACCTGGAAGCAACCTAGTTGCCCCTCAGTGAAGAATGGTTAATGAATATGTGGCACATCTCCACAATGGAATACTACTCTGCAGAAAAAAAATAATGGTATCTTGAAATTCGCAGGCAAGTGGATGGCACTTGAAGAAACCTTCCTGAATGAGGTAACCCAGTCACAAAAAGAGGAACACAATATGTACTCACTCATATATGGATTTTAGACCCAGAGCAAAGGATCACCAGCCTATAATTCACACTACCAGAGGAACTAGGATACAAGGTATTCTAAGAGATTCATATAAAGTCCCTCACTGAACTGGGAAGGGACAAGTCCCCCGGAGCTCAGGGGAAGTGGTGGGGCACTAAATGGGGAGAGAAGTAGGAGAAAATGAGGGGGAGGAAAGGAAAACATGTGCGACCAGGAAGATTGAGCCTGGTTAGGAATAGAAGATAGGAAAGAGAGAGAGAGGGACAGAGACACAGAGAGAGAACATAAAAGAGGGAGCCAATATTGGTTTGAAGATAAAATTGAACACACAAGAATGGTCGAGAGAACTACAAGTCTGCTCCCCAACTAACAATTTCAGCTTCCATGGAAAGGCTTTCGTGAATGCCCTTCCTGGAGAGGGAGATCAACAACTAACTTCTCCATGTTGCCCTCAACTAATGCCTGTTGGAAACAGGATCAAACACCCATACATAAACACTGAGTCGAACTAGAACCCAGATGCAGATGGAGAGGACAAGATCATGTGGCAGAAACACATCCAGTTAGCTTACCTGAACAAGGAGGAGCTCACGGCCACTAGACTGATAGCTTGGAAGCCAGCATGGAACTGACTCAGGCTCCCTGAATATGGGTCTCAGCCAGAAGGACTGAGCAGTCTAAGAGACCTCAGACAGTGGAGCCAGGATGTATCCCTGGTGCACAAAAGGACTTTGCGAACATATCCCCCATGGAGGGATAACTGCCTTCATCTAGAGACAGGAGAGAAGCCCTAGTCCTTACTTCACATTACCTGTCAGATCTAAGTGACCCCAACTGGATGGCATTCCCCTACATATGGAATTGGGGTGGGGGGATGGGAGGGGAGGGTGGTTAGAGAGCATGTGAGAGGGCAGAAATGGTAAAAGGGAAGGAAGGAGGGAAGGAGGGAGTGAGAGAGATGGAACTGGGATCCACATGTAAAATAATATATTAAATTTAAAAAACAATGCTTTGACTCCAAAATTTAAGTTCAAGGACGAGTTACTGGGGAAAATGATTTCTATTTTTGTTTCCACAGAAAATGAAAAGATGTGGATTCCTTCCAGACTAATGTGGTTTGATCAAGCCAGACCACCTGAAAAGAGTATGAGGTGATCCTTCATTCAAAACAGCTGTACAATGCAGCCTTACTGACTACAGCCAGGATTTCTGAATCTTCTTCGAATCCCCCATGACAGAGCCCCTTACCAGCAGGAAGTAGTTTGGAAAGAACAACGCCAAAATTCCCATACATTGTCTATAAATGTTTGTTTTCATTTAAATGGACTTTGTTATATAAAATAAATTTTAAAAAAAGCCTTCCTTAAGAACAGCACCCATCAAAAGCAAAAACAAAAAAGGACAAAAAAAGAGACAAGGAAAAAGTGAGCATATTCAAGGCAATGTCTGTGGCAAATAAACATGAATACAAAAATCAAATAAATCATCAATAGCTATAAATATAATTCATAAATCTTGGAACATTTGGGTCATTATTCCAAAATTTTTCTAAGTATAACCCAATTTTTAAATTTTATAAAATATGTCATGAAGTATATTAATTCAATTATGTTCAGAATAAAACAACTCTTCACTTTATTTCACAAATAGAACATTCTCAGTTGAAAGGACTTAAAATTTTTTTCATAGAAGTGAGTCAGAAATTAGAAAGGGGGCTGAACTCAAATATTTAAAGCATTAACTGCTTAACATTAGTGGTATGACAGAATTTATTTGTTCACTTTTTAAAGACAGATTTCTTTTAAAAGACAGATTTCTTAAAACATCCTAATGAGTGGGAAATTTTCTTTCGTAATACTGTTGATGCTGCTGATTTGAGACCTGCTACATACACACCAGTAGCCAATTTTCATGATCAGAATCAGTATTATGTAAATGCAAAAGTCGAGCTGGACACATCAGCTTTTCAACAGGAGAAAGTTCTCTGTGGCATCAGAAATCAGAAGGCTGAGCCTGATAAACTAATGACTATTAAAAAAAAATAAAAACTAGCACAATCCTGATGAACTTACCAGATGCCACTTCCTTACATTTAATCATCAACTTTGATTATGCACAAAGCATGATAAAAAACAATGACGTTATTTTCCTTGCCAAAGTTCATTTTGTATAAATCAGTTGCATCTTGCATCAGCATTTGTTCTCAAACTATCAGGTTCTGTAAGAACTAAGAACATATAATTGTAGGGTTACTCCTCCATTATCTGCACACTGTTTCAACGACACTAACACATATAACTTAGCAATGAAAACATGTGATACAAGTGATCTATATGCAGAAATTCCGGCAAGTTAAACTAGCACAATCATAGCTGCCATAAAACTGTAGCTATTTACTACCAGGGGTAGGCTTCAAGACCCATTGAGTTAACATTCAAATCTCATATCTATAGCTTTATTCAAACATTTGTTATCATTTGTACTGGAGACTAAAAATGTCATTACTGGCAACACTGTGACATTGATAACACTGGAACTGGTACTTGTGTTGCGCACAGCATTGCTGGTCACATTAACCCCCAATGTGAGTCTGCTCTGCTCCAAGGCCTTCACTGGCACAGTAAATACCTCCAGCTTCTTCTCCCCATTGGCTGTGTAGGAGTTCTGGCAGCCTTCAGCATCTGCAATGTAAGCAGGCTTTCTGGTTAGAGTAACAATGGCAGCGCTGGCTGATGCATGTAAGATTACTTTGATTTTGCATAGCATGCCCACATTTACACCCTTCCTTTCCCTGGGGCTTTTTGCACACAGTCTTGGTAGTACTTCCTGGCATAACATGATGACTAAGAATCTTTGCCTGTCCTGCCTTGTCTTTTTTAAGAATACCTGGGTTGGATTTAGAGTGGGATCTCTTGGATCTATGTTCATGACAATTTTTCATGCTTTTAGTAGATAAAAGTACAGTTTTGGTGGTCTTGGGTGTTGTGCCTACATTGGAAACAGTAGCTATAGGTTGAAGGAAGATTTTCCTTTCATGCTTCACCGTCACAGGAGTAGGCGCCCCTAGTATTGGAAGTGGCTGAACTTTTTCACTGTCACTTTCAGATCTGGTTCTTTTTCGATTCAATTTTGCTACCTTTGGAGTTGCTGCTGTACATGATAACACATGAGGTATAGGGCTGGCAGACATAAAAAAATTATGGCTAAGAGACTTGGAAGAAAGCTACAAGAAAGTTTCATTGGATACAGTGGCTTCCAAATTTGTATGCAAATTAGGACATCCGACCTCTTTATTTGAAACAGTTTCCAAACTGTGGATTACTTCCTCATCACTCAGCAAAAGAGAGTCACCAGGTTTTGGCTCTTCACTGAAACTCCAGATATCAATATCTGTGGAGCACAAGTTAGTGGTTACCGTGTCACAGATAGGTGACAGGCTGACAGACAGATCCTCAGTTTTTATATCAACAGTATTACACATGTCATTAATATTTGGATGTTTAGGTGAGGGGATATTTATACAAAATCTATCTATTGAAAGTCCTTTGTAAGTAGGCAAACCATTGACAACAGAACTTTCATTGGCAATGCTGAGGGCACTTTCAGACTTTGGAGATAAATTAGCATGAGGATCTGCTATGGGTTCTGAAGTTGAAGGTAAAGGGGAATGTGTCAAACACAGAGTGAAGGATGAGTCTGAAGGTTTCTCTGTGTTCTCACAAAACAGTGATCCTTCACTGAGTAAAGCTAAAATATCAGAAGAACAATCAACTGCTTCTCTTATGTCCTCTGCCAGTCTTGTCTGGGTTATATATTCACATAGTTTCTTGCAGCACTTCACTAGGATGCTTAACTGCTTGTTTTCCTCAAAGTGCTCATAGTCTATGCACCAGCTACATGAAGGTTTCGTCAGCGTTTTCTCCATTTACAAGTTTTGCAGACATACTGTTGGCAGGTAGATTTGGTGGGCGCAATAGGATCTTGTAGCAAATGTCCACAAACACAGCAAGAGAGGGACTGCCACAAGAAAGGCAGGATCATGATAATCTCTTGAAATGCCTTGGGGTTTCCAGGGTCATGGTTGAGCACTAAGCGACTGGCAGAAATGTAGAGAGCAGTAGCATTCACAGGGTTCATTGCAAACACTTGAACACCAATGGCTCTCAGTTGAAAAGAAATTCGGGATGCAAGTTTCTAAGCAGCCAGGGAACAATGGCGAGTTTACTAATATTAGGAGAAATCTGAGCAGAACTACTGGCCATAGCAGCAACCAAAATCAATGCAAGTGTGTGAAGCTAAAGCATCCTCCCACACATGGGTCCTTGGTGCCCCTCCTCTGTCCCTTAGTCCTGCAGACCAAAGAGAGAGGAAACTAGTGAGCAACCAGCTTTCGAATTCAACCAAGGTGGCCACAGATTGTATGATCTGGCATGGAATGGCACTTGGTTTAGCCCTGCAGCTCTCCTGGTGGCCTGGGCTCCAGCAGCATATCTGTCCACAGAGGCACCTCTGGATGGAGCTGCAGAGCATCAGTATGGACCCGATGGGTTCCAGGTGAGCACCATATCTCCAGCCATGGGCCCTTACTCCATTGCAGTGCCTGCACAGAGGACTACCATGCAGGAGTCTAGTGCCAGGAGCTTAGGCAGTGGTGGGTGTAGCTGCTGTTATCCTGCAATGCTAGATATGGGGTCCATTCTGTGCCTCATGCAGCAGGAAGGAGGCCCCTGCCCAAAAGGGAGACCTGGGAGGAAATGGACAGGCCCAAGGTGCTGTGGGCAGAAGGTGTGAGTGGGCAGAAAACAGGCCCAGCAAGCAGTGGCTGCACCACTCATTCCTAGGTTGCAAACTCATGATCACCAGAACAAGTGCAGCCCACTCACAGCCCCAGCCCACTCACAGCCCTGCCATCTTTTCAGCACAGCACTGATGACTCATCAAAGCTCTACTGCCACTGCCACTGCCTGCTGAACCATGGCTTATGCGAGTTCACCGCGCCAGGCCACCACCACAGCCCAGCAAAGAGGCCCACTGCAGTCCCCTCCCTTGGGCCTGGCCGCTCTCACCTTCACTTCATGCACAGCTCTACCTCATTTAGGCACTTACTGCTCTGGTTGTGGTGGATGGTGCAATGATTCAGGCCTGCCTGGTATCCTAGAGCATGCTCAGTGCAAACCTCAAGCTCTCTCTGCCCCTTCCCCAGGTGCTCTCAAATTCTCTCTCTCCTAGGTTGCATGGGTTTTGGTGGATAGGTTAGAAGGCACATTGTCACTTCACTTGGGCTGTCCCTATACTGCACTGTGGTGCAGGGCCCGGGGTACCAGGGGGCCTCCCCATGTCTCGCCGCCTTGAGACCTTTACCTCAAGAGGCAGAGACACTGTCATCCTTGAGACTCTGATGTGGCTAGCTAGCCCTAGCTAGCATGTGAAAAGCATGCTTTCAATCCCTCCCCCACCCCTCCAGCTTCCTTTCCATCTGCTTCTCCTTCCTCCTGATTTGTCTCTAAAAGCCCCCTCCACGCCCTCCTGAAGCTACCTACTGGCTCATGTCATGTGCAACACACCCCTCAACTCTTATCCCCCTGCCCGATAATATAGTCTTTCGCCATTAATAGTGCACTTTGACAGTCCATTTAGAAAGCCCTATAAACACATTAGCCCATGCATACCATCCCCGCCTGCCTCGCTGTGACCCCTTCCCCCATGCACCCCCACAAACAAACATGAGCACACTGCTCATGACCTGCTCTCCATTTTTGGCTCCTAGAACAGGGCATGCTCAGTGCAAGCCTCAAGCTCTCTCTGGCCCTCCCACACGTGCTCTCAAATTCTCTCTCTCCAAAGTTGTGTGGGTTTTGGTGGATTGGTTAGAAGGCACATTGTCCCTTCTCTTGGGCTGTCCCTATAGTGCACTGTGGTGCAGGCCCCAGGGTCCCAGCAGGGCCTCCCCATGTCTTGCCAACTGCTGTGGGAGGGGAGAAACCTGTGGATAATAGACCAATACAGATTAACACAATTGAGGCAGTTGTCAAAATCCTCCCAACCAAAAAAAAAAATCCCTGGGAAAGATGGATGCAGTGGAGACTTCTACCAGAAATCCAAAGAAGAGTGAATACCAATATTCCTCAATGCTTCACCCAATAGGAACAGAAGGCTCATTACCAAACTCTATGAGGCCACAAGTACCTAGGTACCCAAGACACAAAAAGATACAAATAAGAAAGAGAACTACAGACTAATATCCCTCATGAACATGACTGAAAAAAGCCTCAATAAAATACTAGCAAATCAAATCCAGGCACACATCATGGAAATCATCCACAATGACAAAGGAGGCTTCATCCCTGCATTGCAGGGATAGTTTATCATGTTGTGCCCAACCTCAACCAGCAAGGAAGACGCAACTCAGGGGAGATCTTCTTCTAGCAGTTTAATCAGGATCCTTCTAACTCCGGGGAAACTCCTACACAGGCTTAAATCCCTTTGCGCTGACCAACCCTAGTGAGCAACATGGACCCTGCAGATAGGCTGTTCTTATACAGAAGCAAGCAAGCTGAGCAGTCTTAGCCAAATAAGGACTTGTTTATGAACGAGAGCGCTCACCATCAGGAAGGTGGAAGGGGGAAACCAGTGCCATCTTTAAGGCATGACACTTCTCAGCTCTCTACATTATCATTTGAAAATCTATCAATGTGATCAACCATATAAACAAAATGAAAAAGAAAAATCACATCATCATCTCACTGGAAGCAGAAAAAGCCTTTGACAAAATTCAACCCCATTTCATGATAAAGGTCTTGGAGAGACAGGGATAATCAATAAACCAACAACCAACATCAAACAGAATGCAGAGAAGCTTAAGGTGATTCCTCTAAAATCAGGAACACGATAAGTCTGTTCTCTGTCCATAGCTTGAAGTTCTTGCAAAAGGAGTAAAAAAAAAAAAAAAAAAAAAAAAAAAAACAATAGGAGATCAATGGGATGCAAACTGGAAAGAAGTCAAACTATCACTATTTGCACATGATATGACAGTTTAAAAAAGGACACAAAAAGCTCTACCAGGACTGCTACAGCTGATATAAACATTCACCAAACTAGCAGGATACAAGAGAAGGTCAAAAAAATCAGTAGCCCTACAATATACAGATGACAAAAGGGTTCAGAAAGAAATCAGAGAAATATTACCCATTACAATAGCCACAAACAACATAAATTATCTTTAACTAATGCTTACCAAACATGTGAAAGATTTATATAGCAAGAACATTGGGTCTTTAAAGAAGTAAATTAAAGAAGATACCATAAAACAGAAAGATCTACTATGCTCATGGATAGGTAGGATAAATATAGTAAAGATAGAAATCTTGCCAAAAGAACTCTAAAAATTCATTGCAATCCCCATCAAAATCCCAGCACAATTCTCCACTTACCTTTAAAGTATAATAATCTATATTAAATGGAAAAACAAAATACTGAGAATAGCCAAACAACCAAGTACAATAAACAAACTTCATGATGCATCACCATCCTCAACTTCAAGCTGTACTATAGAACTATAGTTCTGAAAACAGCTTTGTATTGACACAAAAATAGATAGGTAGACAAAAAGAATTAAATCAAAAACCTGATAATAACCCCCCACCTACAATCATCTGATTTTTGACAAAACAGCTAAAAGTATACAATAGGAGGAGGAATGCATCTTTAACAAATGTTGCTGGCATAACTGGATGATGGTGTATATATAAGACTGCAGAAAGACTGAGAAGCTTATTTAAGGTAATGGACACAACTGACAAGACCACACAGCAGCCCACAGACTGGGAAATGGTCTTCTATTACCCTATATCTGACAGAGGGATGATCTCAAAACTATACAGAGAAAACTTGAAGCTAGTCACCAAAACACCAAATCACCTTATTTAAAAAAAAAAAATAGGGTACAGAACTGAATAAAGACTTCTCAATAGAGGAAATAGAAAAGGCTGAAAGACACTTAAGACAGTGCTCATCATCCTTAGCTATCAGGGAAATGCAAATAAAAATAACTCTTAGATAATGTTTAGAATTGCTAAAATTATTAACACCAATGAAAACTTATGATGGAGAGGATGTGGAGAAAGGGGAACCCTCCTCGAATGCTGTTGGGAGTGCAAACTTGTACAGCCATTTTGCAGATAATTATGATGGTTGCTCAGTAAAATCAAAATCAGTCAATTACTGGATCTGGCAATCCCACTCTTTGGCATATATCTAAATGAACCACATCCATACAACAAAAAGATCTGTTCAACTATGTTTGTAGCAAGAACCTGAAAACAACCTAGATGCCCCTCAAGTGAAGAATGGATTATGAAGTTGTGGCACATTTACACAATGGAATACTACGCTGTGTGGGAAAAATTGGAATCACAGGCAAATGGAGGGAATTTGAAAAAACCATCCTGAATGAGGTAACCCTGTAAAAAAATGAGGAACATGGTATGTACTCACTCATATATGGGTTTTCGACATAGATAAAGCATCAACATTGATGGGACAGTTCATGATGTAAACATGTTTCTCATATTGGTTAAGGAATAAAGCACTGTTGGCCAATAGGAAAGCAAGGGAGGTGGGACTAGGAGACAAAGAGGAAAGAGGAAGGAGGAAGGAGGAGTCAAGATGGAGTCTGAAGAGAGCAGGACGCCAGCCGGCTCTCGGTAAGATAACCACGTGGAAATATTTAGATAAACAGAAATGGATTAATAATTAAGTCAGAGCTAGCCAATAAGAAACAAGTAACGGGCCAACAGTATTATATCAAATACAGAGTCTCTGTGTATTATTTGGGGCTTTCATGGCAGTGGAACAACTAGGTAAACTAAGTAAGCAATATATGGATGTGAAGTAGTATACCCAAAGCATGCTTAATTATACCACAAA